GTAGATTTTATGCATGTTCACGATATTCTTCCCTAAAATTTTCAACTATTATTTCATGTTGATATTATTGATACTATAGAGACAATATTTGTGTAATTTTTTTTTGTTTTTTTGGGTGTTTGCTTCTTTTATCTTATATATATAGTTAACGAATATATTTTGGTAATTATGCTGACAAAACTTAATTTAGCTTAATTAGTTAATTAATAACGATTAGGTGTTATTTTAATTTGATGATCGGCTATTGGTCTGGGTGATTGAGTTGACATATGATGTTTGAAGTGTGAATTGAAGATGATAATATATATATATATATATATATATATATATATATATATATATATATATATATATATATATATATATATATATATATGTATGTCGAAGCATGTAACAATGTATCTTGTGAAATATAGTGCGGTCCCTCTGGAAGTGACACATTGAAAATGGTCAATAGCAAATGATTATTGGCAGCCTACTTTGAGTACTTTCATAGAATTAAAGCATCCAATGCCAAATCAAAAGCTGCTTGCCAGCCAGCCATGTCAAAACAATGTGCTTAATTTACAATTAATCAATCAAAATATATAAACATATACAAAAAAAAAAAAAAAACTTTTAAATCTACTATTTATATTAACAATTTGCTTACTAGTTGTTTTAAAATATTGAATAATTAAGTTGTTTTTTTTTTTTTAAAAAAAAAATTATAATCATGCATGTGTGATAAATTCAATCAAAATATTGTTGGCAATAATACATTTTTTTATTTTCATATACGGATTCACTCATTTAATCACTTCTTTTTTATGACTATCTTTAATCTTTAGATGTGTGTATCTTTATATTTATATAAAAGTGTTGGTTTCATTCACATTATTTATTGAATTTCCTTTTGCCTTTAATTTGTATGTGTCTCAAAATTAAAGATTATCGATCTATTCACCCCAATGAAGGGTTGGTTTTAATTGTTTAAAACTTTTTGTTTAGTATAAATCACCCTTTCTATAACCTTTTAAAGTATATAAACTTTAATGAATGTGGACTGAACAAAGAATAATATTGATGGATCGATATCAACGTTGCACAATACTTATTTCTCGGTGGGTCCGTCATTATGTTCAAGCACACTTAATTATAAAGTTCTTTGACTATCTAGTTATCATATCATACTTAAAATCAATTAGTGATAAGTATGTAAAATTAAACATTTAACCACATTCATTCATGATAAGCCACAACATCACGTCTCGAATCGAGCAGGGACTAAACTCAGTCAACTTGACCGACGCCCAACAAATAAGCTAATAGATGAATTAGATAGCTACTAAACTGCCTCCCCGTTCATTATAATCATCATGTAAAGCAAATTGGATTTAGTTAATTATAGTATGTCACTAAATAATTAAACTTTCTTGCATATTGATGATCAACTAAGTACTCCGTGCAAGGGTTGAATTGTTACCAAGTTTGTAAAAAAAAAAAAAAAAAAACATTGTTACCATGTTTCATTTTGTTGTTCATATATAATGAAGTTATACTAAGTATCCGTTTACTAACATAAAACTGTTTTCTGCTTTATAATTTTTCAGTTTTCATTCTTTATTTTCCATTATCTGTTTTTTCTTTATAAAATTTGTTTACTAACATAAAACTGTTATTTGTTTTATGTTTTTTAATTTTTCAATTTTAACCTAAAATTTAGTTTATATAATATTAATATTTGTTGAGCTAATATTTAAAATATTTTTTGAATATATTCATTTGAATGACATGTATATGAATATATATAACCTTTACCTTGAATTCTAATATATGTGAGATTTTAATATCCGATATTTGGATCGAATTTGTATTACGATGTGACATAATTAAAAATATTTGAACTAATAATCTATTGAGTTCAATCAAAATTTAAAACATTATATAGAGTTTAATTTTTAATTTGAATAATGTAAATAATGTCTAACTTTAAAATGTAAACAAATAAGTTATGTTTAAATAAGTAAAGTGACATATAACTAAATAGATGGTAGATGATTCTGTTTACCATTTAGAAAATGATTTTTAACAGTGTTTCAATTTTTTTAAAAATTCCCAAAAATTATTTTTATTTTTCAAAATAAAAAATTGTACTAATAAACATGCTTTTTGTTTTATATTTTCCAGTTAGTAAACGACATCTAAAAGTTAGGCGTACATGCATGCATTTATTAATGGGTGATTATAATAAGTCATTAAGTGTCGGTAGTAAAATATAATTGAATTCAATAATGGAGAGCGATGGAAATTAAAAACTAATTAGGAATGATTTATAGATATTGGAATTGTGATTAAGACTAATGTCAACATCAACTTTAATAACTTATGTCGACTATTAAAAAAAATCCCATAGTCGGGGAAATGATAAGGGAAGTGTAATCCGATTAATTCGAGGCTTTTATTTGAAAGTGCATTTTAGGAGAAGTCTATTTTGTAATCATAATCATAAAAATTTATAGTCCTTATCTAAAAGTGCACTTTCGGTAAAGTCTGTCATGTAATCATAATCGGTAAAGAATCACAATTAGGTTGTTCATAACTAACAAATTTAAGTAAAATAGACTAATAATAAGTATGGTAGGAAGTTAAACTTGGAATCGTGTGATTGTAATCCAATGTTATACCAACTTTATTGGAATTGCATCTAATTAGATTAATCCAGCACAATATAAGAAAATATACCTCCATATAATTGTACAAAAATAATATTCTTATTTAATTTATGCTTCTACATACTTCTTTATGCATACTCACATTTATTTCGTATACTGCAAAAATAATAAAGCACAAAAAAAAAACACACACACACACAAAGTATGATCATATCACCTAAACTCACTTAAGTATCAAGGTAGACTTCACACTTTCTAAAATTACAATTTAGTTGAACAAACACAATCTTAATAAAAAAAATTAATGCACAATCATCATCTTACAAAAAATTACATATCTGAAATGAAAATTTAACCGATTTGCATTGCGAAAATTGTATTTACCGAAATTTATTGTTTCAATTATTTACACACTTCAGTTTACTATCACAATAATCACCACCCACTTGTTACCCTCTTTTGTCCACTATTATCACAATTAGGTACGTAATGGAATATAAAGTAACACGAACAGTATAATAAGGACTTAAGGGGTGTAAATGTATATTGGAGTAGAAATTCATTAGAAAACAAAAAAGAAAAAATAAATTAATACAAAATATTGCTTTTGTTGTAATTGTACATTATTTTAAGTTAACAACAAATGTGTTGATTTTTTAACTAATACGATAGAAGTTGATGGGTAATTGAGAATCTACAATCTTCTTTCAAAATGTTGAATGCACGATTATAAAATCTCTCCATATCTCACTCCGACAAAGTATATTTAAGAGAATGTAAATTGCGATAATTTAGTAGCTCAACAGACATGACTAAATGTTTGTAGATACAAAGCATCCGTCCACTATTGAGATAATCCCTATACTCTGGAATCTACAATCTTGGATAGCAATCCGGGTGGCATTGCTGCATTGGTACCTTACTTAACTCGGATGCTAATGGTGTGGATTAAAGTCTAATCTCCTCGTTTTAGGAGGTCTCAGGTGCACCCAAACAAAAAAAGTAACACTTTATATAATTTTATTAGGCAAGTCACTCCTTCGAGATTGAAACTAATAGGTATAATTGGAACCTAAATCTTAAATTATTTGAATAATATACCAATTTAATGTCAAAATCTCAAAATTGAATAGACATACAATTTGAATCTCAAACTTTATTTTATGTTTATTAAGTTGAGAGAACACGGTAAGAAAAAAATTACACAATATATGAAACTTTTAAGGTGGCCACAATTTTTACTATTGGTGTTCTTTTAAAAATATATAAAAATGACAGGAATATTTTAGTTATGCCAGTTAATTAAGTTGAGAAAATAAAAAAAAATTGATATGTAATTTTTTTTTTGAATGCAATTGATATGTAATTAAAACTCCCTATATTAAATTTTGTGGGAAAAAAGCGTTGAAGGTAAAGAAATTGTAGAAACTATGTTAAATTAAGGGGTCAAAGCATTAAAAATTTAAAGAGGAAAATGAAAAATAAAAGAACAAAAAAGGAATATATCCCTGTTGAAATAGTGTACATGTATAGCACGTGACTCTCTCAGGACTCAGGATTCCAAATTTTACTGTGTCTATACGGAGCGGTATATTCTTGTTTAATACGGAGTAAAAAAAAGAAGAAGAAAATATGGGAAATTAGTTTTCCATATTTACCCCCGACACCAACCTAAGACACAGTTTGCAGTTTGCACCCGACGGATGGGGTCCCTACAACACCAGCAAAACATGGACCCCACACGCTTCTACCTGCCGTCGATTAAAATCATCAAAACATCCATCCACCCATTCTCTCCTCTTTGTCCCTTCTCAACTAAGCGTTGAACTTTCGATGCCCTCTTTTTCTCTCTCTCTCTCTCTCTCTAACTTTCTCACAGTAGACCTCACTTTCTCTCTCTACTTGTCTTTGTCGATCCCTTTGTTGTTCTTCAACTCCCGTGGGGGGGCTTTGATTCTCTGATCCCACGCCACCCACAGCTCACCAAGAGAGAAACCCACTATCCCCCACCGGGTTTCTCTCAAGAAAGGAATCATCTCCCTTATTATATACGGGATAATACATTCATATATACCCACCTATATATATATTTTTAAAATAAAATACAATATCATTTGTGTCTGTATTTCTGTGATTGTACGTCGTTTTCACCTGTTATTGGTGTTTAAGAGCATTGGCCCAAGCAAGAGTTGGAGAAGGGGAAGAAGAAGACGAAGAAAAGGCAGCGCTTTTCTTTGACTGATCTCTGCAATGGGTTTCTTTGAGTGGGTGCTGCGGATTTAAGTGTAAAGACAGAAGTGGGTCTTTTTATCTGTTTCATTATTGTGAAGGTGGTGTTGGAGTCAAATGGACACCAAAGGAAGGCTTATTGCTGGTTCGCACAATAGGAATGAGTTTGTACTCATCAATGCTGATGAGATTGGAAGAGTAAGTGCATTCACAAATATCTTCTTTCTTGATTCATTCTCATTTTAGGGGATTATCCAACTATTTTGTTAGTTGCTTGAAGAGATTTGAGTTTTTGGGGGTGGGGGTGGGTGGGGTGTCTGGAACATTTGTGTCGGTGATAGGTGGGCATGTCCACATTTTAGGTTTTCTAAATTACTCTTCAAGCATTTTGAGTTTTTACAACAAAGATTTGGTTTTTATTGAAGAATTTTAATTTTTGTGCTGGAAATCTGAGTTTACATTGTGCCCTGGTGGATTTTTGTAATATATTGCTGCAGAGTAAATCTACTTATCTACTCCAGATTTTGCTTGCTCTTGTTTTTACTTTGTTAATGCAATATCTAGGTTTAAGTTAATTGCTTGCCTAAACATGTTTCTTTTAGCTCATTTTCTAAGTTCTAATATTATGATTATTAATTTTTATTTTTATAAAAATTTTGGAGTAAGTTACACAGATTTTTTTTTCTTCTTTTCATTTCTTACCGAAATTCTATAGTGTAGATGTGGATTCTACTTGTCTTTCAAATTATGAATTTCTTGATCTGATTGATTATATTGCATGTTTCATAACAGGTTACTTCTGTAAAGGAATTGAGTGGACAGAGTTGTCAGATTTGTGGAGATGAGATTGAAATTACAGTTGACGGGGAGCCATTCGTTGCTTGCAATGAATGTGCATTCCCTGTTTGTCGACCCTGTTATGAGTATGAAAGGAGGGAAGGCAATCAAGCTTGTCCTCAGTGCAAAACTAGGTACAAGCGCTTAAAAGGTATAGTAATTCCTCTTGCCTTTAGTCTTTTAGCCATTTATTATGCTTGATTTTAGTATGGAAGCGTGTGCTATGAATGAAGACATCATGTTGAGACAATCTGCTATATTTTAGGGAGTCCTAGAGTTGAAGGAGATGAAGAAGAGGATGATTTTGATGATCTTGACCATGAGTTCGATTATAATAGCAGTGTAAGAAGAGATCCTCACCACGTTGCTGAGGCAGCACTGGCTGCTCGCCTTAATGTTGGTTATGGTGTTAACGGTTCTGGGATCATGACACCATCGGAAGCAGATCCCTCAGAAATCCCGCTCCTTACCTATGGTGAAGAGGTAGGTTTATTCACACCTCTATTTCAATCTTGCTGAATTTCGCCTTAAATTTTGATGGAGGGTTGTGTTGTGAAGGACGATGGAATTTCAGCTGACAAGCATGCTCTTATTATCCCTCCATTTATGGGACGTGGAAAAAAGGTTCATCCCGTGCCATTTTCAGACACAGCATCTGTGACCTGTAAGTAAATTTGATATTGCTGTGAATGTTCTTCTTTTACTGTGCCCACGAGGACTTGCTCTGATTCACTTCCCGTGTAGCATTGCCACCTCGACCAATGGATCCAAAGAAGGACTTGGCAGTCTATGGTTATGGCACTGTTGCATGGAAAGAAAGAATGGAGGAATGGAAAAAAAAGCAGGGTGATAAGCTGCAGGTGGTTAAGCATGAAGGAGATAAAGGTGGTGGGAAGAACGGTGGAGATGAGCCGGATGATCCCGATTTGCTTAAGTAGGTGCACTATTTCTTCTTTTTTCATCGGTGAATTAGCGTTGATGAATGATGATTTGACCTTTAGTTTATTTAATTTGTTGTGTGGATGATTTGACCTGTAGTTGTTGTGTGCTGTTGATTGTTTGTTTTATTACGACGTTTTACACTCCGTACTAAAAATAATTAAAGAATAGCAATCTTAACTTTGGGGATCAAAATAGGTCCAATGGCCATGCTCGACCATTTTCTATATTTGTGGGACCCACACTATATTCAATCCTAGAGGGGTTATATAATCCTAGGGGTGGGGATTATAAAAATTGGGATTGGATATGGACATAAATTTGAAGAGTTCTTATATACATATTACGTGCGCACACAGTGTTATATACAGATTACAGAGTAATTAAGTAGTTACAAACTAAATTTGAAGGATATTCTTGAAAAAAAATTAGTCCATATTAATATCCTGACTTTAATACTCCGTAAGTCGTACGAAACATGGAACCTGGCATTAATCCAGACTTCAACCCTAGGATTTTAAATTCCTATATTAACTATCCCTTCATTAAATCCAATCCTCACATGGAATTGAACCAAACAACCCCTTGGGTTTATATAGGTTTCCATGGGCATTTGATGCTTATTTTCTTTAGGAACTTTGCTTTGCAAGGTAGTTGGCCTAGTCTTATAAATCATGCTGTTTTTGCATTCCTTTCTTAATTCTCGTTAGAGAGTTCAATCATTTGTCTATTGTGTTGCAGGATGGATGAAGGTAGACAGCCACTTTCAAGGAAGATACCGATTTCCTCGAGCAAACTAAGCCCTTACAGATTAATCATTTTACTCCGCTTGGTGATTCTTGGGTTGTTTTTCCATTATAGAATTCTCCACCCTGTCAATGATGCATATGGTTTGTGGCTGACTTCTATTATATGTGAGATTTGGTTTGCTGTATCGTGGATATTTGATCAGTTCCCGAAATGGTTCCCTATTGAGCGAGAAACGTACTTAGATAGACTGTCACTTAGGTACAAACATGTTTCATTATTTTTCTCACTCTCCATTTAAACGACTTTTATATGTCCTAAATTTTTATTGGATATTGTTTTCCTCAGGTATGACAAAGAAGGGAAGCCTTCTGAGTTGGCCCATATTGACATATTTGTGAGTACTGTGGATCCCATGAAAGAACCTCCACTCATAACTGCAAATACTGTTCTCTCCATCCTCGCTGTAGATTATCCAGTCGACAAGGTCTCGTGCTATGTCTCGGATGATGGTGCTGCCATGCTTACTTTTGAGGCCCTGTCTGAGACATCTGAATTCGCAAGGAAATGGGTCCCATTCTGTAAAAGATACTGCATAGAACCACGGGCACCGGAGTGGTACTTTGCTCAGAAGATTGATTATCTGAGAAACAAAGTGGATCCAACTTTTGTGAGGGAACGAAGAGCAATTAAGGTATGCTAATTTCTGCTTCTTTTGGCTTCCTCTTTCTTGTTTTAATTACCTTTCTCTATAGCTACTAGAAGAACCCAAAAAAAAAAAAAAAAAACTTCTAAATTTCATAGGAAAAGGCATGTTCTAGAAAGCAAGGATGAAAATGATAAGCTAGTTGTATGGGTAACTAGTTCAGTATATGGCTACAAAATTGATGATTTTAACGCTTATATTACTAATTTTGTTTCAGAGAGAGTATGAGGAGTTTAAGGTTCGGATCAATGGGTTGGTTGCCATGGCACAGAAGGTTCCTGAGGATGGGTGGACCATGCAAGATGGCACTCCTTGGCCTGGAAACAATGTCAGGGATCACCCTGGAATGATCCAGGTTTGTATTCTCATATTTTTGTTTTTCCTTCTGTTTTTGTTGGTACAATTGTGCCGAGGCATGTTCCTTAAACATGTTCCTCGAAACAAAAAAATCACAGAATGAGTCATAGTACTCTTCCGGAGACTTGAAATGGCACTCCCTGCAGGATCTACTGGGAAGTGAGTGTATTCTTGGGGCAAATGGATCGCTTTTAGAGACTAATTAATATCCTAGTATGCTAGGCACTGAGTGTATATTTGTTGAAACAGGTTTTCCTGGGCCACGATGGTGTCCATGACATTGAAGGCAATGAACTGCCTCGTCTCGTTTATGTTTCTCGTGAGAAGAGGCCAGGCTATGAACACCACAAAAAAGCGGGGGCTATGAATTCATTGGTAAACCATCTTCTTTGTGAATTTAAGCACTTGTTATTTTTATTTTTATTTGTTCTTTTGGGTGATGTTTTGATTGTTTTCTCAAATATGATAACTAGGTCCGAGTGTCGGCTGTCATCTCAAATGCTCCTTACATACTTAATGTGGATTGTGATCATTATATCAATAACAGCAAGGCACTCCGAGAAGCTATGTGTTTTATGATGGACCCTCAATCTGGCAAAAAGATTTGCTATGTGCAATTTCCTCAAAGATTTGATGGAATTGATCGACATGATAGATACTCTAATCGTAATGTTGTCTTCTTTGATGTGAGTGGAGCCAACTTTGTGTTTATGTAACCATACATGATTTTCACTCCGTCTTTGCGTTATAGCTTGACTTATGTCGAACATCTACTTACGAAAAATGGAAAAAAAAGAAAAGAAACCAAACATCTGCTTTATTAACTTAGTTTCCGACTTGTCTGATGACAGATAAATATGAAAGGACTTGATGGGATTCAGGGCCCGATATATGTTGGCACTGGATGTGTCTTCAGAAGGCAAGCGCTTTATGGATATGATGCCCCCAAGAAGGCAAAACCCCCTGGAAAAACATGCAACTGTTGGCCGAAGTTATGTTGCTGTTTTAGATCTCGAAGGAAGAACGCCAAAGGAAAATCAAAGGATAAAAAGAAGACTAAAGCCAAGGAAGCTTCAACGCAGATTCATGCTCTAGAAAATATCGAGGAGGGAATTGAAGGTAAATATACGACTCAATGCCAGGAGAGTTCATGAAAGTATGTTAGAGATAAGTGTTTAACGTTTATTAAATGCTGGCTTGATTACATTACAGGAATTGATAGTGTCAAAGCATCTCTGATGCCTCAAATTAAACTCGAGAAAAAATTTGGGCAGTCACCTGTTTTTGTAGCTTCAACACTACTTGAGAACGGTGGTATTCCCCCGGGAGCAACATCAGCATCCCTTTTGAAAGAAGCTATCCATGTCATAAGTTGTGGTTACGAAGACAAAACCGAATGGGGAAAGGAGGTATATACGATAGCTTCATTGACTTTTCCTTTCACGCATATAAGCATATTGTGCATGTGACCTTACTTTGTCTTGCTACCAGGTTGGATGGATTTACGGCTCTGTTACTGAGGATATCTTAACCGGGTTTAAGATGCACTGTCATGGCTGGCGATCTGTGTACTGCATGCCTAGAAGGCCCGCGTTCAAAGGGTCTGCTCCCATCAACCTTTCAGATCGTTTGCACCAGGTTCTTCGGTGGGCATTGGGATCTGTTGAGATTTTACTGAGCAAACATTGCCCTATTTGGTATGGATATGGATGTGGTTTAAAACCACTGGAGCGGTTCTCCTACATAAACTCGGTCGTTTATCCATTGACCTCTATTCCCCTGATTGCATATTGTTCACTCCCAGCAGTCTGTTTACTCACAGGGAAATTCATTGTTCCCGAGGTAAGACCTCTCTTCAGCAGCACTTAAATCTCAATGCGTGTTCAATGATGATACAAATTTGATAATTATTTTCTTACAGATTAGTAACTACGCAAGTATCCTCTTCATGGCTATGTTCATATCGATTGCTGCCACTAGTATCATGGAGATGCAGTGGGGAGGTGTTGGCATAGACGATTGGTGGAGAAACGAGCAGTTCTGGGTGATTGGTGGTGCCTCATCCCACCTTTTTGCACTTTTCCAAGGTCTCCTCAAAGTTTTGGCCGGAGTGAACACGAACTTCACTGTGACATCCAAAGCAGCGGATGATGGGGAGTTTTCGGAGCTTTACCTCTTCAAGTGGACGTCTCTCTTGATCCCTCCCATGACTCTGTTAATCATCAACATCATTGGTGTCATAGTGGGTGTTTCAGACGCCATCAACAATGGGTATGATTCATGGGGACCGCTATTTGGCAAGCTCTTCTTTGCAATCTGGGTTATTGTCCATCTCTATCCTTTCCTCAAAGGTTTGATGGGGAAACAGGATGGGGTTCCTACCATTATCGTAGTGTGGTCTATTCTTCTCGCTTCTATCTTCTCGCTATTATGGGTCCGAATAAACCCGTTCGTGTCAAGAGATGGACTTGTGTTAGAAGTATGCGGGTTGGACTGTGAGTGACAAGGAAAATAGAAAGATTAGATGATCTGAATGTAGAAATGTTATGGCTGGGATCGGGTGTGTTTTGAGAGCAGAGCAGAGGCGCCTCCCGGGGAGAGACAAAAGAGCATCCTGACATGGTTTGATTGCCCAGGATTCATATGATCGATCGAGTTGGATAAATGGAAGGAAGGGGCTGTAGTTGTGTATAGATCGATTTATGGTAGTTTATGATATTCATTCTTTTGGTAGTGTGGGATTTGTGGATTTGCAATCAATGTCTGTGAAATCCCAAAAGGAATATAAGATTATTATTACCACATAACATGAGAAACTATATATATCCATCCCCTTCTTATTAAGGGAGGACTTGCACACACAAATATAATGTTGTGTACTTTTCATCGTAATTTGCAGAAACAGTACGTGTGTAGAAACTCAAGAATCATTATTATTGTTTGTTCTCAAATTAATTACTTACAGTATACTGATAGTATATCGTAATTATATCGTTTCTTGGACTGTCAAATTGGCATCAGTTAATCGAATGTGATGAATAAGTGGTTGAAGCTTAGGTTGTTGACGAGGTTTTGTAATTGTTTTACGCTCAATACTAATCTCACTTCAATTGATAAATTGGAAAAATAATTCATCAACATTTACCAACAAAAAATCTAATATGAACATGGATTTAAAAAAGAAGTACATTATGTTCATTGTATCATAACATAACATATTATTGATTGTGGTATACATATTAAGATTTTGTTAGTTTTACGTAACAAATAAATATAAACATTGAGCCCTGAAGATACATACATAGAGCCATAGAGGAGATGATGGAAGATGAGATGTAGTACGTACTGCTCAAACAAATTAAACATTGGTGTTGCGTACTCTGGATTAGGTTGTACAGATAATAAAGAAACAGCCAAGTGATCGGAGTTCCGTAAGAGTGACCGGCGTGGTGAGGGAGGACGCCATTGACCGGAACTCCGGAAGCAACCCACGAAAAAGGTATAAATTCTGCTCGCTCTTCCAATGACACGACAGGCCGTCCGGCGAGAGACAACTAATTAAACCTGAGCGAGCGCGGCCTAAGTACTCACTCTGAAACGGAGCTATTGAGACCTTGGAAATGCCCAAAGAAGCCGCAGCGCACGTGCCCATGTCATCGATCCTATCGATTGTTCAATTCAATGGCACTCCAGACCTGCTGGGAAGTAGTGGGATCAACCGCCAAATGCATCACCTCCTCCAACAGGGAAGAGATAAGCATGGAGAGGATGGATTCAACACCGGAGCAGCTGCAGGAGGTCCACTGGTCGTAGCGGGGGCTGGAAGCATGGCTGGCGAACAGGGAAGGGAACCGTGGACATAGCCAAGTAAATTTTGACCTTGAAGAAACGGAACGAGCTGCCTACGCTAAAACAAATAATTCTTGATTGTTAATTTGATGGAAACAAAGTGGTGTGCCGTGGAAAGAGACGGAAACAGTCTGCTCAGAACTAGCCGTCCTTATTTTTCGTCATAGGGAACCTGAAAGCTAATACCATATTAGGTTAGGATTCTCAATCACATTTACAGTAGGTTATATAAGGCATATATAAATACATGTAACAGAACTTAAGTATACCTAGCTAGGAATATATAAATACATGTAACAGAATTGAAGTACGTCGTATACCTAGGAATGTAGAGTCTTAACACTTTGATATATGTAATCAAAGTGCATGCATATTGTTCAGTGATTCCTAAAATTCAAGAAATGATGAGGCCTCATTAAATTGCTGTTTTGATTAAATATGAAGTAACACATTGAAAACAAGCTAATTTAAGGGGTAGATGTAAGATGCATTCATACCCACCCATCATCTGATCCTCCATGAATCATCAGCTAGGATAGCTTCTCTGATCTACTTTTTGATGAAGCTCGCCTTGTAACTCTAGTCAACAGATGATATGATCATAAAGACGTGAATTAGTCTGAATTGTCCATAATTCCAATTGAACAAGCTAGGCATACACCTTATATGATATCAAATATATAATATATAAATCAGTATTATTATATTATTGCATGAGGCCAGGTTTGAAACTCATAGCAGGGTGCATGGCAATTCAAGGGAGTAGATCAGACAATCAATATAATGATGCATACCATAGGAAAAACACAAGACCATTAATTAAGATGGAAAGCCTGCATGCTATACTATACTCGAAAAGCTTAGCTTACAATCATGGTACATATGTTCCCATCCCATATTGCCAGGCCGATTCTTAAAGGTAATTTCCCGGCCAGCCCTGCAGTTCACAAATGACCGACCATGCCTCCCATCATTAAATTTGTGCTCTAATTATATTAAATTAAATATAATACCAAGTAACATGCATGCAACCTGAAAACAAGGAAGCCTAGCTAGCTATCATATCTGATATCTCTGTGCATCATATATATATCATCAACAAGCTAAGTTTCTCCACTTTTGAGTTGATTACCTGCATGCACAGATTAGTAACAAGTAACAACCCAAAGTACGTAATTATCTTGTGAATCACTCAACAACATATTTTATTTTAATTTAACACATTAGCATTAATTCTAAAGCACCAAGAGAAGTTAATTTGTATAATCAAGGAAATTTACTAGCTTACTTGTTAGATTGAAAGTACTAATTACCTTGATCGAGATCTCAAATACAATTTCTTGATTGAGCTAGGCTATGTCATAGTGTTGAGAGTCCGGACTGATACTTCTCCAATTCAACATAACATATACCATTTATAATATCAATGATAAAAAGTCAAGAGATCTCATTAAACAAAAATGTAATATTTAAAACAAACAAACAAAAAAATCCATTAACTAGTAAATGACGTCATTTATGTGTGTACCCTACCCATAAAAACAAATTTTTTGTCATTCTTACTCTAGGCTTAATATGTAAGCAATAGTGATGAAATTTGAAGCACATTAAAGCTGCTCTGCATCAAAATTTATATAAATAAAGTTTGAAACCCATCCATTATAATATTTACTAATCTGGATATATGCTGTAATCCAGCATATATTTCACAGCGCGCAAACAGTATATTATTGGAAAAACACAAGGCCTTTAGTGATGGAAAGCCTAAAAACTTACAATTGTAATGATGGACAAATCTATTATATTGGTGTCATCAATCAATCATGCATGGTGTTCCCATATTGCCAGAATGCCAAATCCATATATAATTGTGACACAAACCAATCTTCAAAAGACATACACTTGTTAAAAAAATTAATTTCCTTGTCATGCTTTTGATTCATGCATGCATGTGTTGAGCAGAACATGAACCCATTGTGTCGCTTAGCCAATTTCTAGGAAACAAAACAAATAATACACATAATATATAAGTGAAAGTTTATTAGAATATTACAGGTACAGGACACCAAAACATTTATTAAATTCTCACCTCAACTTGCCCCACTTAACAAGTGATGATCTGGTGATGTGCATCCATCAGATCAGCAAGCTAAGCTTCCTTCAATTCTCTACTTCTTCATCACTGCCATTGTTTGATTGCCTAAACAGATTAGTAATGACAAATTAAAGTTTTTTGAAACCCTAGCTTATAGTGTTACTAACCTGGATCTATATATGTCGTATTCAATTCCAAGCTAATAAGAATCCAAGGCATGAGAAGCCTGCTTGGTGTGATTTTTGCATGCATCCAAGTAGAACATTATGATCATAATCCTACTGATCTGAATGAAATTCAGCTAAGTAAACATAGGAAAAACACAAGATCATTAATATGGAAAAAATAAACTAAAGCTAGCTTTGCATTTTCACATACATACCCCTGGACCGGCATGCATGAATGAAATTGGGAGCTGCATGAGCACGGGGTGAAACTCAGGTTGTCCGATCACAAGAAGACAAACCAGCTAGATTGTCCATAGTTGATTGGCTCAAAGTCAATATATAGAGTCGAGCTGAGTAGTTACCAAGTCAATAAGCTGACTAACTTCAGCTCTGATGTTTAGGAACACTAGTACATTCACCAATCCTGCCTTTCTCATCACATCAAATTAAAGGGAGCCTCACACCAATCTTAACCTAAATTCACAAATCCCAACTTAGTGCTTAATTGGATGCTACCATACATTTCCAATGCTAAATCAACATATATATAAATCTCATATCCACCAAAGCAAATACAGAAAACCCAATAATCTAATCTAAGAATATATTGATCATGCAATAAAATTTCAATAACTTACCAAAAAATAGCAACGCTGATAAAAAGCATTTTGAGAACCAGAAAGAATACTAATTCCAACGCCTTAGCTTGAAAGCTAACTTGATGAGGGAGTATGAAATTGAAGACCAAACAATTGGCTTATTGTGATATGCTCAAGCAAATTTGACAAATCCAATTCCTTGGTTAGCATCACAGAAACCTGCCTCATGGTTGGTCGACTTTGTGGATTGATACTTAAACAAGCAATTGCTATCTTGGCAACCAAAATCAACTCTTTCGCTTCCTGCTTTGTTGGAGTAGAGAGTCGAGGGTCCAACAAATCTTTTAAAAGCATTCCATGTGTGGTTGAGATTGGGGATGAAAAAATGGATGTAATGAGGTCACATGGATGTTTACCCATTATAACTTCCAGTGCTAGCACTCCAAAACTATAAACATCACATTTTTCAGTTACCTCCATAGTGTAAGCAAACTCTGTCAATAAAATAAATAAACAAAATAAGAAGAGAGCACATAATGCTATGCTAGGATGAGAAAGGTAAAAAATGTTGTGTAATTATTAGCCTGTACCTGGAGCTGCATACCCAAATGTTCCCGCAAATGAAGTCCAATTCGATGAATTAAGACTCAATATTCTTGCTGTACCAAAATCTGACACATGAGCTTCATATTCAGAATCGAACAAAACATTTTTAGGTGATATATCCCGATGAACAATAGGAGGTAAACAATCGTGGTGCATATATGACAATGCTTTAGCCACAGCTTTAACCACATTAACCCTCTTCATCCACCCCAACTCCATTGCATTTTCATCATTGTTTAATATGTGTGCTAGGCTTCCACCTTCCAAGTACTCATAAATCAAGAATGAATGTCTCTCACTGGCACAAAAACCATACATTTTTACAATATTTCGATGTCTAACCTCAGTTAAAATGCGAACCTCATTTGAAAAACTTCTGAGACTGCACAATTCATCTTGTTGCCCAGTGACCTTGAACTTCTTTATAGCAACAACTTGACCACTTTGAAGCTCAGCTTTGAAAACCCTTGCATGTCCTCCTTCACCAATACAATATTCTGAATCGAAGTTCTCCGTCGCTTCAATGACACTTTCATATGCCATCTTCCCGTCAAAACTCCATATTTCTAACACATTTTCAGTAATTTCTATTGACTTTTCTCTAAGATTGCTCCTTGATCGAACAATTAATAACACAAAAATGCTAATAACCACAAACAAACTTCCAAATGTTATTAGTATGATTAAAAGCAAATGTCTTCTCGTATGATCTCTTTGACAAGGCTTGAAGCCAAAATGATTCCCGCACAAACCTTTGTTATTTCTCAAGGAATCATACGGAGCTTCCAAAAATGCTTTATTGTTTGGAATGGGACCTTCTAGCTGATTGTATGATACATCAACAGAATCTAAACCTGAACATTGAGAAATGCTTGATGGAATGTATCCTGATAGATTATTGTGAGATAGATTCATAATCTGTAAACTTGACAATCTTGCAAACTGTTGTGGAATTTGACCAGAGAGGAAGTTGTGACTAAGATCAAGGCTTTCAAGCATTTTCAAGTTTCCCATACCATAAGGAATCTTGCCAGAAAACATATTTCTGCTCAAGTTCAATTCTATTATCCCTTGGCAGCTCTCAAAGTGCATCGGAATCGATCCGACAAAATTATTTGCGGCTATGCTGAAGTTCAAAAGTTGAGATAATTTCCCAATTTCTAGTGCTATGTTGCCAGAAAATTTATTGTTGTCCAACTTAAGGACATTTAAATTTGTCAAGGTTTCCAAACTCTTGGGAATCATTCCGCTTAGTTCATTTGATGAGAGATCGAGAACAACAAGCTGAGAGGCCTTGCTGAGATTAGGTGGTAGATTTCCAGAAATTCTATTATTTGAAATCTTCAAGGCAGTAAGTTTCGAGCAATGGCCCCAACTAGAAGACAGATGGCCATAAAAAGAATTGTTACTCAAGTTAATGTAATCAAGGTTTGGATATTCTCCAAAGGCTTCAGATAAATCTCCAGAGAATTGGTTGTTTTGAAGTTGTACTCTGACAAGAGACGTACAATTTTTCAAAGTGTTGGGAATTTTTCCTATAAGCTCATTGTTATGCACAACCAAACGTTTTAGGGAACGACCAATGCATAGATTTTCGGGCAACAAACCAATGAGATTATTTGAGGACAATTCCAAACCAACAAGAGATGTTAACAACCCAATTTCTTGAGGAATGTGACCTGAAAGTTGGTTATCAAAGAGATATAGGATTGTCAACTTTTTCAAGTTCCCAATTGAAGTAGGGATTTGACCAGTGAGATTATTTGAGGACAATTCCAAATCAACAAGAGATGTTAACAACCCAATTTCTTGAGGAATGTGGCCTGAAAGATGGTTCTCAAAGAGATATAGGGTTGTTAAACTTTTCAAGAATCCAATAGATGTAGGGATTTGACCAATGAGATTATTTGAGGACAATTCCAAATCAACAAGAGATGTTAACAACCCAATTTCTTGAGGAATGTGGCCTGAAAGTTGGTTCTCATCAAGACGTAAGGTTGTTAAATTTTTCAAGTTCCCAACTGAAGTAGGGATTTGACCAGTGAGATTATTTGAAGACAATTTCAATTTAACAAGAGATGTTAACAACCCAATTTCTTGAGGAATGTGGCCTGAAAGATGGTTCTCAAAGAGATATAGGGTTGTTAAACTTTTCAAGAATCCAATAGATGTAGGGATTTGACCAATGAGATTATTTGAGGACAATTCCAAATCAACAAGAGATGTTAACAACCCAATTTCTTGAGGAATGTGGCCTGAAAGTTGGTTCTCATAGAGATATAGGGTTGTTAAATTTTTCAATTTCCCAACTGAAGTAGGGATTTGACCAGTGAGATTATTTGAGTATAAGTCCAAACTAACAAGAGATGTTAACAACCCAATTTCTTGAGGAATGTGGCCTGAAAGATGGTTCTCAAAGAGATATAGGGTTGTTAAACTTTTCAAGAATCCAATAGATGTAGGGATTTGACCAATGAGATTATTTGAGGACAATTCCAAATTAACAAGAGATGTTAACAACCCAATTTCTTGAGGAATGTGGCCTGAAAGTTGGTTCTCATAGAGATATAGGGTTGTTAAATTTTTCAAGTTCCTAACTGAAGTTGGGATTTGTCCAGTGAGATAATTTGAGGACAATTCCAAATCAAAAAGAGATGTTAACAACCCAATTTCTTGAGGAATGTGGCCTGAAAGATGGTTCTCATAGAGATATAGGGTTGTTAAATTTTTCAAGAACCCAATAGAAGAAGGGATTTGACCAGTGAGATTATTTGAGGACAAAGCTAAATTAACAAGAGATGTTAGGAACCCAATTTCTTGAGGAATGTGGCCTGAAAGATGGTTCTCAAAGAGATATAGGGTTGTTAAACTTTTCAAGAATCCAATAGATATAGGGATTTGACCAGTGAGATTATTCGAGGACAATTCCAAACTAACAAGAGATTTTAACAACCCAATTTCTTGAGGAATGTGGCCTGAAAGATGGTTCTCATAGGTTGTTAATTTTTTCAAGTTCCCAACTGAAGTAGGGATTTGACCACTGAAATTATTTAAGTATAAGTCCAAACTAACAAGAGATGTTAACAACCCAATTTCTTGAGGAATGTGGCCTGAAATTTGGTTCTCATAGAGATATAGGGTTGTTAAATTTTTCAAGTTTCCAATTGAAGTAGGGATTTGACCAGTGAGATCATTTGTGGACAATTCCAAATAAACAAGAGATGTTAACAACCCAATTTCTTGAGGAATGTGGCCTGAAAGTTGGTTCCCCCATAGATAAAGGGTTGTTAAATTTTGCAAGTTTCGAATTGAAGTAGGGATTTGACCTGTGAGATTATTTGAACCAAATCCCAATTCAACAAGAGATGCTAGGAACCCAATCTCTTGAGGAATGTGGCCGGAAAGTTGGTTTCTAGTGAAATATATGGTTCTTAAATTTCGCAAATTTCCAATTGAAGTAGGGATTGCTCCAGTGAGATTGTTTGACCATAATTCTAATTCAACAAGAGATGTTAACAACTCAATTTCTTGAGGAATATGTCCAGAAAACCAGTTTTGACTGAGATACAAAGTTGTTAAATTTTTTAAGGTAGACATTTCTTTAATGAAAGAAATGCTCCCATGGAGAGAGTTGTTAGAAAGATCAGTGACTTGTAAATGGTGTAAGGATGAGAAATTCAAATCTTGAAGCATACCTTTTAACCCATAAGTTGTAAGGTTTAGGCTTGTAATGCTTGGGCCGGCATCGCAAGCAATACCAGTCCAATTGCAAGGATGAGTAGCAAGAACCCATGATGAGAGTAGTGATTGGCTTCTAAGGTCAAGACTTGACTTCCATGTTAAAAGAGCTCCTACTTCATTTTGGAATTGCAAGTGGTTTGGAGAAAAAAAAGGAAGGGCGGTTGTGGTGGAAAGGAGGGAAAGGAGACGTATAATACTAAGGAATAGTTTGTATGCAGGAGGAGACATTGTGATGTTGATGAAGACTGAAGATATAGGAGGGAGCTGATCTTGAGGTGGTATATATTGTATTACATACATAGAAAGAGGGCGGGGTATATATATGGGCAATGTTTAATTTGTGAGTGAAATAATTGGGATTGTTATATACTTCTATGATAGGATGGCCTGTTGTACCCCCAACGGCACAAGTCTTCTTGTCAATAATCTTAGCTTAGATTGGTGATATTTTTAATTTGTTATATAGCTCTACACCAATTGCTTTCAATTCGAATTCTACTACATATACTCCCAAATTCTACTCTCACACTTTTAGTCCTTTAATTAATGATGTATTCATTTTTATCACAATCATATTTTTGAATACTTTATGATGTGATAAATTTATATTAATTTTATGGAATCACTATTTTTTAAATTTTTTTTTTGGCATTCCAATCAATCGTAATTAAGTAGTATAGAAACAAGTAAAACTTGTTGGGATGTCAATTATTTTCCTGTTTTATTTTACCAAAATGTTCTCAAATTTAGATCTTTTAGCATCTTTAATATATGCTATATTTTGAATCCATGAACTATATTAAATAAAAGAGTTAATTCTCTAAAATGGTCCTTTTTAACTTTTTCCATTTTTACTCACCGACTTTTAATTTGAACTAAATTAAAGTAGTCTTTTGATTATTACTCTTTCACTAATTTGGTCCTTAACACGTTTGGTTGGAGATGGGGAATTACGTGGGAAAGGAATTGCAATTCCATGGGAGATGAATTACTGAGAATAAAGTGAGAATTTAAGTTTCAGTGTTTGGTTTACAGGAATAGAATTACTGGGAATTTCAATTTCAATGTTTGGTATACATGGAATTGAAAGGGAATAAGTAGTATAAAGTCAAAAATGTCCATTGTTGTTGTTAGACATTAATTTTAAGTTAAAAAAAGAAGGGGTAATTTTGACTCATCACTATCTTTTTTTCTTCCTAAAATTCCAGCGGGGGCATGTGATTTTAATTTCATGAAAATGAAGGAATTGCAACTCCTTTCAACCAAACAAGAGAATTTTGTGGTATTTAAAATTAGGTGGGAATTAAGTGAGAAGAGAATTTAAATTTCTTCAACCAAACGACCTGTAATTATTTTATCCATCAAATTGGAATTAAATATGATGAAAAAAAAAATTGAAATTTCAAAATTTTCATATTTGGTACTCCAACTATTTTATTGTTGCATGTGAATGCTTAATAATGCATTTAAAATAAATGTATTGTTAGAAATTTTAAATTATTGTATCGTCATAATTTTAATTTAGACTTCACTTTCAATAAAAAAAAAAAAAAGTTACAAACAATTGGAGGTCTTTAATAGATATTATTTATAGTTAGAGATCAGTAATTACTTACCAATAACGCCTCCACTTGAGACTCAAACTTACAAGCTTCTAAACGGGAGTCCAACCCGAATATCATTAGACCACATAGTCTTAGTTACATTTTAAACTTGTTAAAACTGTAAATTTTTATATACTAGTCACATCGACAAATTCTTCTACCATGGGCGAACTCTATATATATATATATATATATATATATATATATATATATATATATATATATATATATATATATTTCAAAGACCACGAGGTGTCTTGAGCAAACCCTAAGGGGGCGTTTGGTTGGGGTTATATTGAATAACAAAGGTTATGTTGGGTTGGTTATTTAACATGCCTATGTTTGGTTGAAGTTATATAATATTCCCTTGGAATCCAACATTGCTGCCACATCAGATTTTTTCCCTTTGTTGAGGGAATGTGATTCCCTTGCTAAACTTAGGTAATGTTAGATTACCTTGACATTTTACATACCCCATTTTTACCAAACACCGGAATCTAACAATCCGAGTAATCTAACATTCCCATCAATCTAACATTCCCTAAGGTAATCTAACATTCCGTGAACCAAACACCCCCTAATTATAGACAATAGTTATTGTATGGACCGTGGTCAACACAGCTGTGTAGACCACGACCTAAAAATGACGTCGTATTGCTTAATTTTATTTTTTTGCGCGCCCAACTACAACATACATTTTTATAACTCATAATGTATATTATTCTAAAGAAATATGTACATTATTTTAAAACATAATGTACATTATATTACCCCAGAAGTTTCATTATTCTAACACGTAATGTACATTATTTTAACACATAATATACATTATTCTAATCCGTAATGTACATTATTCTAAATCATAATGTACATTATTTTAACACATAATATACATTATTTTTACTCATAATATTCACGACGATATTTTGGACCATGGTCCACATAGCTGTGTGGATCACGGTCCACACAATAAGTTGCCAACTATAGGAGGTACATTGAAACTCGTACCATACTCAGACTAATCCTCGTTCGCACTAGATCGACCTAATTAAAGGACAAAATGTTGATCAGATTAATTTTTCCATACGAAAGACCAAACATAAAATCTTAATATATTCTTTTATTTATAAATTTGGTGTGCATGTAATCAAGTACGTATTTTTTTTTTTAATAAAGTTGAATTAAAATGTAACATGGTCTTGAAAAATAAAAGAAACATGCATTCCACAAGATTAGTAAATGAGAGACAACCCATAGCTCAATTAGTCATAGAAGTGAAATTTGTCACAAGAAATTATGGGTAAATTATTTGGTGGACCTAGGTCCACTTTGCAAGGTGGACCTAAGTTCAAAAATACACAATTTACAAATTGAATATTTACAATTTACATACTGAATATCAACAATTTTACATACTAAATGTTTACAATTTACAGACACAATTTATATATTAAATGTTTAAAATTCAAATTGTAAACATTATATAAATTGTGTATTTAGGACCCAAATCGACCTTCATGTGTCCATGTCCATGGTATAAGTGCTGGGGATCAAGCTAAGGTTAATATTGGTATAATGGGTAATCACTTTGACCAAGTCAATTTGGGGAGTTTTCATTATCATATTTATTGGAAAAGAAGACAAGTATAAAAGTAGATCAACTCAGTCCTCCAATTACCTATATATTTTGGCACCACCAAGTCAAGATTCGAAAGTTACAGTCATAGTTTTGTTTCTACTCTCCTATCAAAAAATAAAAGTCCTACCACGAGTCACTGCCCTTTGTTCCCGTCCATCTTCATTTTCTTCTTTGTGGTATAGAAAATTGTGAGGCATCACTATTCCGCAAATTATGTTTCACATAGTATTGTATGGACCATAACAAAAAATACACTTTTAATATATTAAATATACATTATTCGTGTATTGAATGTACATTATACAAATAATATATTTTTAGTATTTATATAATATAAATTCTCTGAATATAATGTACATTATTTTACAATATACAAAATATGATCCATACAAGTTGTGTGGACCATGGTCCACACAATAATGATGGTGACTAGTCCAACCCGATAAGGCATAGAAAATCCTAACGGAGTCGCCTTTAGGATTACATTGAGGGCCCAACCCTTATAGTAACGCCTCAAATCTTAACAAAATTGTTATCCAAATTCTACATAATACAATTCTTGAAAACAATTGTATGAAAATTTTTGAGGACCAAACTCGACGTGAACTTTACGAGACGTTATGCCATGGAACCGTGTTCACCATTCATGGTGAACACGGTTCCAACGGTGTTAGTATACCGTTATCTTTTTTTTTTTTTTTTTCTTAATTAATTGTGTGACTTTTTTTCTTTATTTTTACATTTTGCGGTTTCACTTTAATTTGAGGTGAACAAAGATTTCGGACATTCATAAATTATGAATTCATGCCTGCACATTCACTTTGGAACCATGCCTACACATTCCCGTCCGAAATCACGGACATTCATAAATTATGAATCCATGCCTGCACATTCACTTTGGAACCATGCCTACACATTCACTTTGGAACCATGAGATTATGAATTTTCTGTTATAAGATTATGAATTTTCTGTTATGAGATTATGAATTTTCTGTTATGAGATTATGAATTTTCTGTTATGCGATTATGAATTTTCATTACATTCATAATTTCGGACATTCATAAATTATGAATTCATGCCTGCACATTCACTTTGGAACCATGCCTACATATTCCCGTCCGAAATCACGGACATTCATAAATTATGAATCCATGCCTGCACATTCACTTTGGAACCATGCCTACACATTCACTTTGGAACCATGAGATTATGAATTTTCTGTTATAAGATTATGAATATTCTGTTATGAGATTATGAATTTTCAGTTGT